CTGCTTTGGTGCCTGTCAAACACCCCTGCTGCATCCTCAGGCCCCTTGCCCCAGGTGGTCAGACCCCAGGCCATCCAGGCTGTGTTTTCAGAGTGCAGCTCCCAGGACCGAGCGACCCATGTCCTGGGCTCTGGTTGGGGGGAGCAGCATGAGACCCCTTCTCAGGGCTGGAGTGCCCAACCCTGGGGCTCCCTGAGGTTTTGGGAGGAGAGACCCTCAGGGCGCGCAGGGTTGGGGAGGGGTAGGGTCCAGAGCCTGCTGCAGGCCATAAGCTGGGAAGGTGACAGGATCTTCAGATCCTGGACCCAGGAGCAACCGGGCATGACCCCCAAATCCTCCGCCGGCATACCAGACAGCAGCTCTGACCGCCAGGGAGCTCAGCGCCAGGCTGCACCCCACCCTGCCACCTAGACCTCCCCCCCCGTGGTGGAGTGTCATCAACACCTGAGGCTCATGGTGCTGGGGGCCAGGCTCAGGACTACCTGTCACCCTCCTGCCTGACCCAGAGCCAGGGGCTGGCCCTGGGACCCCTGTTTCAGGGCCATCCACAGCTGCAGGAACCAGGCCCTTTACCCGCCAAGCCCCCCACCTCCACAGCCCCCAAGCTCCCCGGGGCTCAGGTTCTACCACCTGGGACGCCCCAAGCGCCCTCTCCCTGCGCGGGCCCCACGGTGATCAGGATGGGAGCCCTGCCCGCGGCAGTGACTGGCCATTGGCCGGCCAGCCTGTGGACAAGGAAAGAGATCCATAAAGGAAGTCACGGTGAGCTGCGGCTCAGACCATGAAGGAAACCCCAGGGCATGAGGGCAAACCCCGGCAGGGACCAGAGGTTGAACCCTGATGCGAGGGCTGGCCACACACAGCCATGGGACACTTCGGAGGGCGTCAGAGGTCTGGACAGCCGGACTCCCTTCCCCTGGTTAAGGGAAATTGCCCAGTGGGGGCCTGTCCAGTGCGGCAGCCCTGATCCCCATGTCAGGATCTAGGGGCTCGGTCCCCTCGCCCTATGCTGTCCCCCACTTCTCAGAGCAGCCAGCTTGTCCTCACTGGTCCAACTCCTTCCCCTGGGCACGGGGGGAGAACAGCCAGTGGTCCCGTGGGGGACAGGTGACAAGGCTATTTTAGCCACTGAGGAAACCGAGGCCCAGGAGGAAAAGGGACTGGGGACGAGTGGCCCCCAAGAGTGCCTGTTCCGGAAGGACGGGCCTGGAGGAGTCACAGAGACTGCGAGGTCCCGCAGAGGTGGGTGGACACTGGGAGGGGCCCCTGTCCCTCACACAGATGTGCTCCCAGCTCCACTTGCTCCCAGAAGCCAGGGTAGTCCTGAGGCCTCAGAGGGGACCAAGCAAGACGGAGGGGCAGCTGGGGGGACGTGGGAAGCTGTGGGGCTCAGAAGAGCAGGGTGCGCTGATGGCTCTTGTGCAGCCCTGCCCCCACTGGAACCCGGCCAGCCCCGGGTGCAGAAGTGGCTGAAGGGGTGGGTGTGGCTCTGACAGAGAGGCCAGCCAGGCGGACAGCCAGCCCCGGCACGTGTGCCTGCTGCCACCCGCGGCTTCCCTCCAGGTGGCACAAGAAACCACGAGCAGCCCTGGCTATGGGGGCTCCGCAGCCCCTGCCCTCCTCCTCGCCAGCTGAGCCCCCCAGAAACAGAGTCCCCTTTCATCGGCCCTGTGGGTGGTCCCAGCCAGGCAGCTGGGGTAGGGGGTAGGGACCAGCTCTCCTACAATAGGGCCAGCTGTGTTGTATCCCACCCCTGCTCTGACACACCCAGGACAGAGTGGCTGGACAGTGGCTCACCTCTGTCCTGAGCCAGTTCCGCAGCCCACTCCCATCCCTAGCCCCAGAAGCCCCCGCCGGCAGAACCCCTCGTCTTCAGTGAGCCTGGGAGGCCAGGAAGCCCAGGAGCTGCACAGACCCACTCTGCCCAAGGACAGATGTTCTGGGGCGGCTCCTGCAACTCCACTGTCTCCTCTGCACCCCCAGCTGTTCCACCAGCAAACAGGAAGCCCTGGCCCTGCTCTAGCAGCTCCCCAGCAGATGGCGAGCTGGGGGCCCTGCGGCTGGCTGGGAGTCCCTGCCTGGAGTGGGGACGTCTGGACCTACCCCCACCTGGATGCCCACTTGCCTGCCCCAACCCAGCCTCACTGCCCTTGACATGAGAAGACTCCCTGGGGCCTAGCCTGGGCAGGGAGGGCGTGCTGAGCGGCCTTTGCTGGGCACCTGCCCCTCTGCCCATCCCAAGGGCTGTGGGAGGAAGGGGGATGAGGGTGACAGCCAGACCTCCAAGTAGACGGCCCAGGCAGCCCACTGTGCTGGCAGCCCCCATCCTCTGGCCGAGTCGCGTGCCCCCTGCCGCCCCACTGTCCCTAGCCCCCCTGAACACACACGGCAGAGAAACAGGCCCCGGCACGTGGGGAGCCAGCTGGCACCCAGTCAAACTAGCAGCCAGGCACGGTGCCAGGGCCGCCAGCCAGCAGCCTGCCACCCGCTCCAGCCCCGCCTTCTGCAAGCTCACAGCAAGGCGGCCGTCACTGCGCAGCGTGTTGGGAGGAGGCTGAGGACGGGCAGAGGGTGGCGGGCAGGGGAACCCCTCCAGGAGGGGATCCCGGGGCGGGGCAGCTCAACTGAAGGCAGGGAAGGGGAGAGAGTAAAGGGGTAAACTGAGGCATGGCCTTGAGGATGTATGTGGTCGTAAGATCCCTGGGACAGACATTGTACTGCCCTCAGGTAGCACCTGGCAGGTTCAGGGGGCACTCTTCCACCCAGGACTGCTGTCCGCACACGCCCACCTCGGCCCCAGGTGGGCCCTGCGTTCTGAAGCCTAGGCGAGCCACTAGAGTCCCCATCCCACTTCCCCTGCCCTGCATCCGCCTGTGCTCGTGCACGAAGCCCGGGCCTCAACACATGTGCCAGCCCCCACCTGACTGGGCACTGGACAGTGGAAACTGCATCTCACAGCTGGCACGAGGAGGTGCCCAGTGGCGTGTGGACAGATGGCCATTGCCTGGATGCTGGTCTCAGAGAGAAGAACCTCCTCGGTGTGTCACAGCCAGGGCCTCTGTGGACAACGTGCCCCTCTTCCTGCTCAGGCCACCCCTGCCTCAAAAGAGCTTCCTCCTGGGATGCAGGCGGGTCAGGGCCTGGGCTCCATCCCCCACCCCAACATATACACTGGGGTCCTGGCCTCCCACCCAGCCGGGTGGACTTCCCTGGGGCTGGGGCAGGAAGATGGAGCCCACAGACACCAGCCCCAGGCGAGGGGCTGAGGGCAGCTCCGCCAAGACAGCCGTTGGCACAAGGGGAAGTGGGTGGCTGGAGGCCGTTGTGGGTACTGTCTGTCTGCAGGCTGCCACCTACCCACACTCTGAGCAGTCCCCAGGGGGGCAGGACAGGGGGTGGGCTTCAGGGCAGGTGGCACTACCCACAAACCGCCCTCCTCGCAAGCAGGGTTCCCAAGGGTGGAATGGGGGGGAGGGTAGCAGGAATATGCACTTCCTGACGCAGAACTTGGGGGATGGGCTGTGGACACTACTTTGCAAGGAGGGGAAACCAAGGCAGCCAGCCCGAGCATACCCATGCACCTGCGGCTGGGCCAGGGTGGGTCCTGCACGGCTCCCGTGGGCTTCCATGCAGCTGCTCCCCCATACTCGGCCACCCTCTTGCCTCCTTCCACAGACATCCTGGGAGCCAGATGCTACTGTGACCCAGAGTGTGTCCAGCAGACACAGAAGGCTGCGGGGTGAGTGGTGCCAGCGGGGCCCACCCATGGCCGCCCAGGAAGTTTCCACCAGGCCTGGCTCCAGGAGGCTGCTGGGGTGTGGGGTGGGAAGGAGAGACGGGCCAAGGACCCCACTCTGCCCACTTGGCCCTGAGGGCGCGAGAGCTGCTCCTTATCGCCTGCCCAGCATGTGCACTCTGCACAGTGCCCGGAGCCCAGATTATTTTAACAACTGTCCCTCACTCGTCACCTGTCCTGTTTGGAAAACAGCCCCTTTCTTGTTGCACAAAGAGAGGTTTCTCTGGCTTCCAGCAGTGCCGGGCGCTAATCTCCCTGCCTGGAACACGGGCGGCGGTGCGCAGTGTGTGGGTCCGCAGCGCTCTGTAAACACGACGCCCGCCGCTCAGCACAGTCATTGAGTTACGGCAGCGCCGGGTGCCAGGAGCGGAGAGCCCTCTGTGCCCAGTGCCAACTGCAATTACCTCTCCGCGTGCCAGTCGCCCGGGGGTGGGGGGATGCTTAACCCTTCCCATGCCGCGGGGGGCGGGGTTGCTGAGTGAGTTAAGTACCAGCAACCATGGGTCCAGGGACGTTGGGGCCTAGGGCCACTGCAAAAGTCACAGCGCCAGGGTGCTGAGCAGAGGGGAGCGGGGCAGGGGTTGCCTGCCCCTGGGAAAGTCCAAGGGTAGCCCTGAGTCCTAGAAGGGCATCTAGGGGCCCTCCTGCCAGACACGCAGCCTGAGAGTGACAAGTACTCATGAGGCATCTACTGTGACCAAGGCAACATCTCATGGGGAGGCCAATCGCTGGGGAGGGACGCTGTCCTAGGCCAGGCCCCAGGGCGGCAGCCTGTGCGTGCTGACAGCTCTCTCCTCCCTGCCCCTCCTGCCCAGCCGGCACATCTGGAGCCCACGCCTCCTCGAGTCTGGGGAGGTGGGCGCGCCCTGCGCGGGGGGCAGCCCGCCCGGCCGGCCAGAGCAGCTGCGTTCCACATTTCCCCGCTGCCCGAGCCCCCGGCCTGCTCCCCTTCTCCTTCTCTGCCCATCTGGAGCACACATCTGGCCGGGACCACCGCCCAACGGGGCCGCCCCCTGTTTCCAACCAATTACCACCTCCCCCAGGGGCTTCCTCGGCAGGGAGGCAGCCCCTTGCCTCCCGCTGGGCGGGCCTCCAGCCGGGTTCTCGCTGCCACCACGGGGAAGGCCCTGCCTCAGCGCTGGCCCTGGGTGCCAGCCAGTCACCCGGCCATCAGGGCACTGCTGGGGCCCAGGCCTCAACTTACCTTCGTGGGAGTGGGAGAACCAGATCTGGGAGGCGGCGGGGTGAGAGCTGCGGTAGGCCTGCTCGGAGGGGGAGGAGGCGGCCCCGCTGGGGTGCGTGGAGGTGGCCGAGCCCAGGCTGCTGGTGAGGAAACTGCCCATGAAAGAGGAGGCCGGGGAACTTCCCATCAGGCGGCTGCCGGCTGCGGACACAGGGGCGAGAGTGAGTCTGGGTGCAGGTCCGTGGGCAGCTCAGGACAGGGCAGAGCCCTCTCCGTGGATGGAGCGCAGGCCCCTGAATCCCCCCAGGGCCTTTGTCTTCAAGAAGACAATGGCAGGAGAAGCTGCCCACATGGGCCCCTGACAGTCACCCAGGGTCCTGATCTCCCTGTGCCTCAGGTGCCCTGACGTTGACGCCCTCCTGCTATTGCCAAATCCAAGAATGACACCTTTGCCAACACCACCACCAATGACCACACCACCAACACCAGCACCATGACCACACCACTGCCACCACCAATGACCACGCCTCCTGACACCATCACCACCAATGACTATGCCACCACCACCACCAAGCAGGTGTGGGTGCTGTGCCAAATAACCCCATGGGAACAAACCACCCTGTGGTGGGTGTTTCCCATGCAGGCAGAGCGCCCCGGCTCTCCCAGGCCATGGCACTGGGCAGCCCCAAGCCCTCTCACACCCGGTGGACTTGCCGGCATGCTTTGTCCACCCTCCTGCAAAGGCCAGGCAATGCACCTGGGACCAGGGTGGCAGGGCCCCCACAGCAGGCCCGTGTAAGCTCTGTGGGGCAGGGCAGCACTGGGAGGGTGGCCCTCCTCCAGAGTGAGGTCTTCCTCCTCCTCTCCAGCTCCAGTTAACTGAGTCGTCAGACTGGGGTGCGCCAGCCCCAGGTGAGCAAGAGGAAAAACCAGCTAGAAGGAAGACTGGAAGACAGGCGGGAGAGGGGCACAGGGCTAGGGACGCTGCCCCGTCAGTCTGGTCTCCGTCCCCGCAGGCACACATCAAGCTGCAGACAGCAGTCATCTCAGGTCAGGTGGCAATGGCGAGAGGCTTCCTGGGCCTGGCTAGCACACTCGGCATTCCCCAGGTGGCCCGGGAGTGTGGCGACCGTTGCGGGCAGTGGGTGTCCTCCACAGCTTGCCCACCCAGCTCCCCCTGCCCATCTGTATCCTCCACTCACGCCCACCGGCAGGCTGAGCCCCCTCTCTGCCCGTCCAGTGGCCAAGGCCAGGCCAAGCGAGCCTCCTGGGTTGCCGTGGCTGCCAGTGCTCGCACACACAGGACACAGGCACACAGAGGATGTTCCACACACGGTGGCCCCCCACTCAGTGGGTGGCCTGGGGCTGCGTGGTTTGGCCCCCACCCTGGCAGGGTGCCCTGACACCTTGTCACTTCTGTCCCATGGGCAGGGAGCCTGGCCTAGGACCATCCCAGGGACCTAGGGGGCTGCTGCCCCATTGGGCTGAGAGGGGTTGCGAGGCTGAGTGCAGGGACAGGCGGGGGTGGCGCTGCAGGCCCAGCCCAAGGTGAATCAGGGCAGCCTCCCCCCTGCCCAGGAGGCAGGAGATTTGCAAATTTGTGATGCCTCATGCAGCCTGGCCAGGCCCTGGGAGCTTCCCAGACAGGGGGTGACTCAGCAGAGAGGCGGCCAGGCCAGGGAACCAGGGAAAGGGAGGGGTTGTCCCAGCGGGGACCCTGGCAGCACCATGCTGAGCCAGGGCAGTTCCCAGCCCTGGGCCTAGTGGCGCAGTGAACAGGGCACACACGGGCCCAGGGCTCTGCAAGCGCTGGCCAGGGCATGGGCTGTGAGCTGGCCCCTGTGGTGGGTGGAGCAGAAGAGCAGGCTGTCAGGCTGCAGGGAGAGCCCAGTGGGCCCAGGGCAGGGGCGAAGGTGCCCAGGAGCCAGGGACTTCCCGGACCGCAGGGCTGAGACGGCCATGGGCCCCAGCCAGACCACAGGCGTGGCCAGCTAGGGGAGGAGACTCTGGGCTGAGAAGGGAAGTGTTGGGGACCCTTGGGGGCATGCCTGTGGGGTGAGCTGGAAGCTTTCTGCTGCCCCGCCCTGGCCCACCCCACGTCCCCTAGGCCTTCCCGCCCCCGCACCCTCCCAGGGAAGTCCCGCCTGCTGGTTCCTCCCAGGGATGGTGGGAAGAAACCGAGTCCAAAAGTCGGGTCTGGAGAAAGGGTTTCTGCAGGATCTCGGCCTGAGAACCCCACACCCTGAGCTCTCCCACACCACAGGCAGGCGGGGGCGGCAGGACACAGCTCGGCAACCCACAGGGCCCTCCGGTCCTCGGAAACTCGCCTATCTCCAGACTCGGGGACCCTCTACGGGTGCTTCCTTCCTTATAGCTGGTTTCTCTGAGCCTGTTAAGAGACCTTTGGCCCAGAGTCTAGGAAATAAAGGGGGTCCCAGCCCAGCCCCTCGCTGCCCTCTGGCCAGCCAGACTCACAGGCAGCTGGCGGGGCCTCTAACGTCCTGCCTGTGCCCGGCCTCAGGCCAGGCCACACACTGGGGCATCTGCCTGCACTCCTTCCCCTTTCATGCTGCAAACTGAAGAACTGGTGCTGTGCTCCTACCACACAGCCACGTCTTTATGTCCTAAATGCAATAGATTCAAGCCACCAGGCACGGTGAGGAAGGACGTAGGAGCCGGCTGAGACCCCACTGCCCCGAGATCACAGCCACGAACGATTTGGAGACCACCTTCTGGGCAGAGATGGCACAGCCTTCTCCGTCATCACACGGAATGGTACACTGCAGCCCAGTTCCATGAAGGGGTGTCCTTGGTACTGAGTCCACCACGAGAGACCCTGATGTCTCCCATATGGGGACAGAGATGGCCTTCCCCTTCCAGAAATCCTGGCGCAAGGTGGCAGCTGCTGTCTGGGGTCCCCATTGCCCGGCCAGCAGGCCAGTCCCTGAGGAAGGCACTGGGCAGACCCCACCTCACACCTGGCCCCACACACGGGTGGGGGGGGGTCTGTGATCCTTACTCTAGGGGGTGAGTTTATCCCCCATCTTGGGCATGGCTAGAAACTTGGAAACAGATCCTGCAAGCCCTGCCACCGGAGGGGCAGGGACCCCCGTGGGGGTGGGGGAGGGGACTGCTGACGAAGCCTGGGAAACTCTGGGAAAGAGCGTCCATACTGCTACTGTCACTTCCACCTCCAAGGAGCCTGGCAATGGCACTGTGCCCAGCCAACAAGGCCGTGGGCAAACCTGGCTGCCACCTGCCCAGCCCCCACCTGCCGACCAGTAGCCAACCCCAGACGGGGCCTGTGCAGTGGCTGCCTGGGAGCCGAGTGCAGCCTGTGCCCTGGCCAGGGCCAGAGATACGTGGCCAAGTCCAGCCGGGAGCTGGGCTGAAGGTTCTTTCCTCTTGGCAAAGTCCTCGCCTACTGAGTGCTGTGGTTACCAGCCAGGGAGGGGACGTGGACGGGGCATGCAGTGGGGAAGGCTGGAGGGGCTCTTGACCTGGGTCCCCTAAGAAGCCAACTGCACTGGCACCTCCCCTGCCACGGGCTTTGTAAACCATGCTGCTTAATGCCACTGTGACCCCAAGTTGGGGGCTGCCATAGGACTGATAAGGGAACGGGGCATGATAAACCCTAATCATGACTCAGGGCCCCACAGCCCCAAGTGCCCAGGCGGGGGTTTGAACGAGGCCTGTCCACTCCAAAGGCTGCCCTTGTCCCCACCAGTGTGCATGGTCAAGGTGGCCTGGCCCCACCACGGAACCTGCCCAGGTCCACTCGCTCGGGTTTCCCATCAGCTCTTGTCACGGGGATTCGGTATATGTTCAGGGTTTTCCTGGGAAAAGAAACTGAAGGCTGTGCAAGGTGTCAGTGTGGCACAAGGCAGGCCATTCTGTGTCACACACTGGCCCCCAATCAGCCAGTCCCACTGCCCAGTTGGCCCAGGCCAGGGTTTGCAGCTCTGAATACAGGGCGCCCCTGGCTGCAGCTCTGCCCAGGACACTGTGGAGGCCTGGCCCAGGTGCCTGGCTGGCGCAGAAAACCACGCCAGAAACCAGCGTGCTGGAGGCCAGCTGACACCCCCCCACCAACGGCCCGGCTCCTCAGGCGCAGCCCCTATCCCTGAGAGGCTGGTCTGTTCCCACACCCCAAGGCACGGCCAACCTGGGCCAGGAGACAGACTGTCCCTGGACCCTGGCTGCTCCCAGGCCACCCAGCAGCAGAAGGGCTGGGAGACCAGTGGGTCAGAGCTGGGCGGGAACCCCAGACACCTCGGGAATCACTCGTGGCCACGGAGCCCAGCCCACCCAGAGAGAGGGCCACCGTGTGGAGTGGCCGGCACACAGTTGGAGGCAGCAAGCTGTGCTGGCCATGGCAGAGGTGGGAACCAGGCCTTCCTCCGGCCAACCTGTTTGCCAGGTCAACTTGCTGTGGCCAAGATGGTCAACAGACGCTGGGCAGCCCCGAGTGAGGGCCGCTGGGGATGCTTGGGCCCAGGAGCCCAGCTCTGCTCCCAGGAGCTTCCGGTCCAGGGGTCCTTGATAACTGTCCCTCCCTACGCGTGTGCTCGGCAGCAATACTGGCAGCCCCCCTGCCGAGAGTCCCCCGAAGACCCAGCAGACAGAGGCCGGGCCTAGGTGACTGGATGCCCAGGTGCCCCATGCCTGCCCACCCAACTCTCCTGCCAGGCCTCCACAGGGTCCTGGCCGTCTCAGCATCGTGACACCAGACAAGGACAGAGGGGACAGGAGGGACGGCCGGAGGGTCTCCGTGAGCCAGGAGGAGTGGGAGATCCGGGCTGCGGCGGGACGAGCATTTGTTTTGGGTGAAGTGAGCCACGGGGACAGCGCCCTCCTTTTCTGGAACTGGGAAGTGGATTGTAAGAAAAAAAGGCCTCCCTGAGACGGCTCCAGAGAAGCAAGTCCCTTCCCAGGCTCTCAGCTCCCGCTGCTTCTGGAAGCCCAGCTGACGGTGCTGGCCCGGCCGCTCCGCTCCGGCTCCGCGTCTGGCGGCCGTCCTGGCCTGTCCCGTCCTGTCCCGCTTCCCTCGGTGCCGCCGCCCGGCCCCTGCAGGCCCGCCCAGGAGCGGGGACGCCCGGCTCCCCTGGGGCTGTCCCTTGGCCTCCCCTGAGACTGGAGTAATGGGTGGCCCCAGGCGCCCCTCCCACGCCGAGGCGGGCCCGGAGGGGGCTGAGCAGGCGAGAGGAGGCGGCGGCAGGAGGATCAACAGCCGCCACGGCCCTGCCCCGCATTCCTGTCATTCCAGGGGAGGGGAGGACAGGCCGGCGCCGGGCACGCGGGCTTTCCCGCGTGGATGCTGGGGAGGAAAGGCTTCAGTCCAGCCTGCTTGGAGGCAGCGGGTGGCATCTGACCATGTGGCTGCCTGGGAAAAGGAGTGGAGGGCAGAGATGGGGACACCAGGCCCCAGTGTGAGGGGCCGCTCTGGGACTCCTGGCCCCCACCAGGAGACTGGAAGCTGCCGTGGCAGGGGCCTT